AAATAGGAAACAGGACTGCAAAGGCACAAGAGCTGGGAAGACACCACAGGGCGGATGCTGGGCCTCAAAACTACTTATCCATCTATTTTCTAGAGGTTTCAAGCACAGCATTGGCTGCAGATAAAACCTCCTCGACCGCGTTGGGGTACCTCATGCCCACACCGTGGGGTTTGTTTTCCTGGGCAAACTAAAGCTTCCTCCCATCATCCCTCGCCTTGGCTCCGGGGTGAAAGGACCCCTGCCCAACAGCACCCCGGGCCCCGCAGGAGGAAGGCTGCTCCTAGCAGCGGCACCCACCCCCTCTCCCGATGGGGGCTGGCAGCAACCTTCCCCCCCTCCCCGGGTAGCGCATGAGGGCACGCCGAGGTCCCGACCGGCTCCAAGCCGGTACCCCACGCTCCCTCCATCCTCTTCCCCATGCACCCGGCTGCGAAATTACCCCACCCGCCCCAAGAAGGGGATGAGCGGGGGAGCCTATCCCGGGGGGGGGGAGAGATGCCCGGCCCTGGCTCGTGGGGGATACGGTACCTGGCGGCAGCTCCGGGCTCAGCTCCCGCGCCGGGCTGGCCGCGCCGTCGGGCGCCCCATGAGGGCGGCGGGACCGGGGTGGCGGGAGCGGAGCCCCGCGGCCGCCCCGACCGCCGGAGCCTCGGCGGGGAAAGGAGGCGGAACTGGAGGAGGGGCAGCGCTGCCGCTTGGCCCCAGCCGCGCCCGCCGGCTGCCCAGCACCGCCCCCCGCCCAGGGACACCCCCACACACACAGGCCCGCCCCACGCGGTGCCCCAGCACGTTGTTACCCCTCAGGGACCCCCTGGCATGCAGCATCCATCACCCCGGAGACATCCGGCACGCAGCATCCCCCAACCCACAGCGCCCATCCCCTCGGGGACACCCTGGCACGCAGCACCCATATTCTCAGGGGCCCCGTGGCACATTACATTCCCCAGCCACAGCACCCATCCTTGAGGGGATCTTCCGCTACACAGCACCCCTTAGCCACAGCATCCGTCCCCTCAGGGACCCACAGCACACTGCATCCTCCAGACAACAGCCATCCATCCCCTGGGGGACCCTCTCGCACGGAGCACCCATCCCCCTCAGGGTCCTCCGGGCACGCAGCATCCTCCAGCCACCACACCCATGCCCTCAGGGACCCCCAGTACATAGCATCCCCCAGCCACATTAATCCTTCACATCCCCTCCTGTGTCAATCCCCTCGGATGGACAGGGGACTGGCAAATGCCACCACCTCAGACAGGTTCAGGACACCACAAGTTTTGGGAGCATCAAGGCACTGTCTGCACCTCTCAAAGCCAAAATGCTCTTTTCCTTCCCAGAAATGGATGTGCGTGATGGGGACCAGGGCAAGGGATACTGCTGGATCCAGGCTGGGACTGGCATGAAGTGGCCTGCAGTGAGCCCTTATCTCCTTGCTTTATCATGCCAAGGTGGATTGCACCCCAGAACTCACACAGGGAAAGTATAGGTCCAGCACTCACTTGTGCAAGCACCCAGCACAACTTTTAAAGCAGCCTGAGAGCTGAAGCTTACAGAGGAACCTGCGCTTTCTGCTAATTTTAAGCCCCCTTGCAGCCTGCTGGAGATAGAACGCCCCTGCCCAGCCCCAGAAGATCTCCTCTCCCCCATGCTGCTGAACAGTCAGGTTCCAGGGCTCTTAACCACAGGTAGGGTGGGAAGCGGCTGCCCAAAGTGAAGCTAGGTATGTAGCATTGCTTTCACAGACCCAAACACATCAGCTTGGCTTAAAAGTAAGCCATCTGCCAAGCCTCCATGCTTGGCCTTCCCACCTTGTGGGAGGCTTTCAGGGCATGGTAGAGAGGGTGTTAGACCTGGAGGCATCCTCTGAAACACCAGGGTAGCTCCAGCTCCCCAAGTCTCAGAACAGTCCCACCTTGCTTGGGCCACTCAAATGCCTGGGGAAATAAGCTGCTGCCCACCCAGCTGTTCCCTAACACATACAGGCACCATGGTGGGTTCCTGCTATGACTCTGCCAGTACCAGCAGGGCCAGCAACAAGGTCTATTCATCTCCTGTTAGTTTCCATCACAGCACAGAGTAAAACCATGAGATGACTTCAGGCTTCCCTCATTGCCAACAGGCACTGCACTTATTCTGCTGCCATGGAAAGATGCCGTTTTAGCTAATCCATAAAATCTCAAGTCCTTTAGCTCCCAGCTGCCTTCCCCCATTTCATTTGTGTTGACCCCTGAGCCCTCAGAGGGCCCCATGTAGGAGGACCCCAGCCCCACCTCCCTCAGAGACCCCCAATGCCCCAGCACTACAGCCTTGCTCACATGCAGCATCATTCGCAACTGCTGCACTGCTCCGGGAGGCACCGCCGAATAAGTGTTTATGGGACACCAGCAGACTGAAGGAAAAAGAGAAAAACGACATTAACACGTTCACCGGCGCTGGGAAGGAGGGCCAGGAATGTAAACGGAGCCCGGAGGCAGTCCGAAAATGGTAACGGCTGGAAAGCAGGGCTGGAAAGTTTGTTCATCGGGATCCTAGATACTAGCCAGGCTCCCAGCCTCCGGCTCAGCCAAAATACCCCTTCCTGAGCTGCTGTGCTGAATCACGCAGCTGCACGCCACGGGGCAGACCCCAGCAGTCACACGTGCAGGCGGCAACTGCTCCAGTTTCAAACTCAAATCCAGAGCTATAAATCCAACGAAGGCTTCAGTCACCCTGCTGCATGTGAAATTACCCAGGTTTAGTTCATTGACAGCTCGCTATCAACTGACAGCTTCAGTCCTAGACTGAAATTTTATCGTTTTTAGAAAAAAAATAAAATCTCCATTTTTAGCTCCCAAATCAGCATCTAGAAGCTCCCACTGAGTTCCCCACACACATGCACCTCACTGCAGGTGCTTTGGAAGCCAGGATTTAAAAAGGGCACCCCAAAATTCAGGAAGAAAACAGTTGTGCTGCCCTAAGCTTGGCATCTCATGGACAAAGCCAAACCCAGAAGAGGGGAGCTCCCAAATGCTTCCAGCATTTTTTTCTTCTTGCTCCTCTCCTCTGTACACAGGCTTCAAAACCCATGAACTTTTCGGGCGGAAGAAGTGGAACTCGGGATCCACCACTCCCATTCAGCAGTGGAAGCAGAAATGTCTTACTTCTCTTTCATTTTTCACAAACACATGCTGCCTGTTTCCAAGCAACACAGCTTTCCTCTGGATTGGTTTCTCCAGCAGGCTTTAGGCACCCCTTAATAGAGACTTCAGGTAAGAAACAACCTGCAGAGCCAGAAGTTGGGGAGAAACTGGAGGAGGAAGCAGCTGTGCAACACACATGCTTTGCACCAGCAGCAGTGTCTCCTCCAAAGGAAAGGGTTTCCTCACTGCCTTCTCCACCCGCTGTCCTGCTTTTAAACTCAGGATCAGGAGCAAGAGTATAGCAATAGTAATTTAATCTTGTCCTGGGTAACAGCACTATGCGAGGCACTGCTGCTGCAACATGCACCCACATTAACGGGAGGTCTCACAGAAGAGCCACGTCATGTGTGGCCAGTCTGGGGTGTGCAAGGGGCCCCCAAACCCATGTCAGTGGCACCCTTGGTGCCACCCTCCCAGCTTCACCCGTGGGACCTGCACAGGCAGTTTGGGAATGTGGCTTGCCACTGCGGTATTTCACACGCAGAGTCCACATCCCATAGTAATACACTTTCAGTGGTGCCACAGCATGGGGAGAGGGGGTTGCTGGTTGTTTGCTGAGACACCCACAGAAGCTGGGTCCCCTTAGGATGTGCCTGCAGCCAGACAGAGGGAATGCCCTGCGCTCACCTACCTTTTCCTTCCTACTAGGGGGAAAAGGCTTTTGCTGCACAGACGCCCCCCTCCCCACCATACAGAGTAGCTGGTATAAAAAAGGGCCAACTTTTCTGCAACATGGTTTGTAATTTATATATATAATTAAAGTGAGAATTTTAATTATACACACCTGCATCAGCACAGCCCCCCCTGCGAAAGTGGGGCGGGGTCCCTCCAGGAGCAGCAGAGATGGTGCAGCCAAGGCTGCAGCATAGGCTAACAGAGCAGCCAGGCCACATGCTGGGCTTAAAAGTGCTCCTGGGCATAGAGGTCCTCAGGTGAGGCTGCTTGGGGCTGTTGAGGTCCATGAGGGCCCACAGGGAGGAGCTTGGGTGAGGGTGGCTGTACCGCCATGCTTGTACCCACCTGCTCTCCTTGGTCAGCACTGGTTTGTGAGACAGCTTTGGCTTTGCAACAGCTTTGCAGCCCCCAGCAGCTAAAACCCAGTTTACATGATGGCTTTAGCAGCACAGCCGACATTTTGGGAACTTGCCCAGCGCTTGCAGGACAGGGATGCTTGATGGCATGTGCTTCTTTCACATCAGCTGGAAGGGGTCACTGGCCAGGGTACCCCGGGCTCATGCAACCTTGCCTTTAGCAGCAACGTGGGGAGTTGCTGGGGGGTTGCAATTTAAGCTTAGCTTAAGTTCAGGACTTTATTTGCATGTTTGGAGTCTAGCTTAGACATGTCCCATGCTCTTGTGGTACCTCTCTAGTTTGATGCCCAGGTTTATACAGGTTTTTGCACCTGATGGTGCAGGATAAATGACCAATTTGCAGCAATTTTGCACATGGGAGACCCTTCTACGGTAAAACCAGATTTTTCTGTGCATGAAATTTTGCTGGCATGCCCCTTCTTAACCCTTGGCTGTTGGTTCTGGGTTTGACCCTCCCCTGATCTTTGTAATGCTTAATTTCCGCACAGCCAGAGGCAGGGGCTCACTCCTAATTTACTGTCCTTGGCCTGGATCCCCTTTTTTCCAAACTGGAAATTTGGAAAGCAACTCACCTAAAGAATCTGGGAGGGGAAAAAGTCAAAAGCTAAAATAAAAAGGAAGGAGGGCTGACCTGCAAGGAGGGTGAAACCCAGGAGGCATTTGCTCTGAAGGGAAAGGAAAATCCCCCCATACCCTGAGTCACAGTCAGAAGAAACCTCCAGCACCTTGATTTAATAGACCAAAATCTTTATTGATTTCACTGTAACAGCAACCACTGGTGAGAGCTTTTCTCCTCCCAAACACCTGCTTGAAGACAGTAAAAACCCCAAATGTATACCCTGACTAGCAGAGGAGCTGCCCCAGCGAGGCCAGGCACTCCCTCCCTGCTCTTCAGCACCAAGCCCAGTTATAAAAGAGAACCGGGAGAAAGTCGCTGGGATGGGGAATAGAGACAAAAAGAGGTTGGGAAAGGGGTTTTTCAGGGGAAAAGTGATTTCCCTCCGGCTCCTGTCCGTAAGTTAAGTTGTCCTTGGATATTTTCTGATTTTTTTGCTTGGAGAGCAGGCTTCCCAAAATGAGCGGCTGTGCCAAGGGCACTAGGTCCCTGCATCCATGGTGACCATGCCCGCTCTGCAAAGGATGTCCTCAGCCCCTGCCCCTGCCCGTTCCTCGATCCGAGGACCTAACAGACCTCCTAGGATCTTCACTTTAAGGAAAATATATTTATTTATATATAATATATATATTTGTGTGTGTCTTATCACCACCCACCCACACACATATACATATTTCTACTTCCACTCACTCACTCGTGCGCCTACGATGGCCAGCTACATATTCACATCCCGTCCCACTGAGCACTACCCATGCAAGGGAAAGGATGGGAGACACCCCATTCCCTTGTGGTTTTTTGCCTTTTCCCCTCAAAAATGAGCAGCAGCACCCCCCTACTGAGAAAAGCAGCTGGAAGATGGGAGCTCACAACCAGCCACCATGCCGACCCATGCCAAACACACCTAGAGAAATAAATTACCAGACGGAAAGTGCACAAAGCCTGCAGCATGGATGTCAGTGTGGGGCGTACCCATCCCTGTCACGCACAGCCACCACCCTGACAGGTGACAGGTCCCTGGGCCTGGGTACCGGGGGGGGACAACCCCAGTGGGACAGCATGGATGGAGCAGGCACTCAGGTGGGGGCTGATAAAATGGCACTTGAGAAGGTTTCAAAGCTGTTCTGGCTCCCAATAGGCAGTAAAAATACAAAAAGGGGGGGCTAGTTGGAACAGGGGCACAGCACAGCACTGCCGTGGCATCCCCTGTTACGCATGCCCTCACTGGATGCCACTCTTAAAGGCAAGAGTTGCACCAAGAGAGGAGAAAAAATACATCCCATCTCCGGGGGGTTTCAAGATGCCAGACACAGGCAGGATGGCCACAATATGCCAGCCTGGCAAAGCGACTGGCTCCGGGCAGATTAACATGGAAACCCCTTATGCACTGCAGCACAACGCGGCCAGGTTAAGACCTGGCACAAAAATCAAGTGGAGGACAGCAATACCACTGGCACCCTGCAACTGGAGCACCCCAGCCACAGCATTGCATCCCTGCAATGTCACCCCCCCCGGGTGCCCTGGTATTCCTGAGACATTCAACAGCGCCAAGGGATTTTGCTCCTCTGTTATTCACATTTTAAAGGGGGGTGAGGTGTAAAAAAAGAAAAGCACTTTCCCAGAGGCGCTCGTCCCCAGCCCAAAATAAAAGAAGCATCGCTGGTGAAGTTCCCCTTTTTAGTACCAAAAAAAAAAGCACGGGGTCTTCTTTTGTAACATATGGCCAAGTCACTTCAAGTCCTGGCTGGCGGGTTGGGGATATAGCCCCCAGTCAAAAGGACATGCTGGAAGAAATCTGGGTAGGAAAGAGATGTGGGCATGCTGTCCAGCACTGTTGAGGCCTAACTTGGACCCCTGGAGCACCAAAGGGAACAGGCTGCCAATGGTGTCCACCAAATGCCAGCAGGTCCCAGGGGAACTGAAAAACCCTCTCCCTGGCGTGCAGGCAGGTGCTCAGTTTTAGAAGCAATTCTTTTCGCCTCCTCCCAAATTTTCTGGGAGAAGAGGCAAAAGGGATGACGCAGCTCTGGACTGCCAAGCTGCCGGCAATGGGAGGTTTGGGGTAACACGAGATTTTTCTTTTTGGGTGGGGGGGGAAGCATAAGGCAGCAGGAGAGGCAAAAGGATGTTTTAAGAAGCCCAGTGGAGATCAGGCTGTCAGTGGGCAGAGGAGGAGGAATAGGGCTGGATCCAGAAGGGATGTTCTGTCCAGTGCATGCTGGGACTGGTCACCCAAAAAAGGGGAGAAGCCAGAGCTGTGCCCCCTGGAAAGAGTGAGGGAGGCAGGCAGGGAGAGGGATGCCAGCAGGGACCGCTGCTGCCTCTGCCTCGCCGGGATGGATCCTGCTAAGCCGAATGGGTGTGCGCAGGTCTGGGGAGTTGCTGCCTCTCCGTGGTTCCCACTCAGATATCCATCTCGAACTGGGCATCGTCCCCTGGCGAGAAGCAAGGAGACATGCGTTAGGGGTGTCACCCCCCACCCCAAATCCTCCCGCCCCACCCCGGGGGTCCTTTACCCATGGATGGCTTCCCCTCCTGGTGGTTCAAGTTGCTGGCATCCGCTTTGGGCTCCTCTCCGGCCGAGCCGGGGCTGGTGACGCCGGGAATACTGGGGAGGTGACAAGGCGGGGTCTGGGCCATGGGGGAGTTGCGGCGGTCCAACAGGAACTTGCGGTCGTAGATGATCCGGGTGCCTGGGGGGGGGCGGTGATGAGAGGAAGCTGGGGGGGATCCGGCCCAGCAACTCTTGTTTGCAGAGGGAGTCTCCCGGCAGGACCAAGAGTAGGCAGGGAGGAGAGAGGGGTGCGCGCCGCCACTCTGCCCGCTCTTATCTGAGCACGGGGGCCGATAATTCCGCGCTAGGTAAACATCCCCGGTGGCACCTGGGTATCAGCTGCCCGGGGCGCTCGGCGCTGTCCTGTGCGGAAGCCTGGCTAACTCACGGCAGGGGCGGGAACGCATGCCGACGGATGCGGCACCATGAAATGTCCCGTGTTCGTCTCCCCCGCCCGGGGACGAGGGATGCTCCGACCGCAGGGGGTCACAGCGGGAAGGGGCAGAGCCCCCTTCTCTCGCCACCGACACCTCTCGGGGCATCGAGCTTTGATCAGTTCGTCCCACCGGGGCCGCCTGCCACCCGCTACCGGGAGTCAGCTCCCAACCCGGCCGGGACCCTCCGCGGCCCCCGTTACGCCCCGGAAAATACACCCTGCTTCCTTTAACGACAACCGGCGGCAGGCGCTATGTGGATACGATATACAGCGCGATACAGGAGCGAGAGCCGGGCGATAGGTGGTGTTTAAAGAGGCGGGCGGCGGGAGAGCTCCCCCGGCGTGGCCCCGCGGCCACCGCCCCGCAGGCCCCGTCCACCCCGGCGCTTACCTCCCGGGGTGGTGGAGAAGAGGGTGCCGCCGGGGGTGGTGCAGTAGTCCGGGGGCAGCTGTGCCACGTCGCTGAGGGCCACGGTGCGTGTGGGGATGGCCCGGCTCTGGCTGGGCTGGCGGCCGCCGGCGGACGACATGGCCCCACGCTATTGTCCCCGCGGAGGCGGCGCGGAGCGGGCACCGCCTCCCCCCGCCCTCCGCCTCCCCGCTGCCGCCGCGCGCCGTCCGCCGCCGCCAGGGGGCAGGCGCGGGGGCAGGCGGTGTTGCCCGCGCCCTCCCACGTGGTCTAGCGGTGAGGATTCCTGGCTTTCACCCAGGCGGCCCGGGTTCGACTCCCGGCGTGGGAAGAGAGTTTTGAGGAGCGCGGAGGAAGGTCCTGTCTTGTCTCCGGTGCGAGTGGAGGCAGGTCCTAGGGTTTAGGGCTCCTTCTCTCAAAACATTTTGGCTGAGGGGAGCTGATCAAAGTCACCAGGAAAAGGGACATCCCCGTATCCCAAATACACCAACCCAAAAAGCTGGGAATCCCACATCCCAAGGGCTACACAATCCTCACATCACCAAGAAAGGGGACTCATCCCCATGTCCCAAAGTACCAACCTGGAAAGTTGTGAATCCTGTCTTTATGGGCCACACCAGCCCCAGATCACTAGGAAAGGAGATGAATCCCCATAACCCATTCCAGGAAAGGGGATGTATCTCCATTTCGCAAAAGTACCATCCTGGAAAGTTGTGAATCTCATACCCTTAGGGCCAAGCCAGCCTCAGCACAGCCTCCCTCCCTCCCCTGGGAACACTGATCCCACCGGTTATTTTTAGCAGGACTCTCCCGGAAGGCCGGAGCGACTGATTTCTTTCTCCAGCCGTGGATCCCCCCAGCCAAAGCACGTCCCCAGCGGGGCCAGGCGCCCGCATGCAGAAGAGGATGGGTGAGGCGGTAGCACGGGTAGCCAGGAAGGTGAATGACACAGTGGAGAACAAAACGGATTCCCTGGGTAAGACCATTGCTGCAGCTCAGCTCCCGCTCGGGCCCAGGGAAGGATCGGGTATCTGGGAGCAGTGCTCTATTCTTTGCTGCCAGTCTAAAAATAAGAAGCGGTTGTTGGCCCCACTCTGGGTGCTGCACCCGAGGCTCCCACAGCCATAGGGAGGGGAAAGGTTCCTTCAAAGGACCCTCAACCCCCTCCCCCAAGTTTGAGTGGGTTCTCACTAATGGCATATAATGCACTGGGACATGCCCCAGGGATACAGTCCCTCATTGCAAGCGATGGCAGGAGGCAGATCTTTCCCGACATCGCTTTGTCAATCTGTGTTTTTCTGCAATTTCCCCATTCCTAGCTAATATCCGAGTCCCACGCGCAGTTCATCAAAACAGATGAAATCCGCTCATTTTTATTGATGCTGGGTTCCCAGCCCTGGGGTACAAACCAGCATATGCTGAGAGTCATAGCTTCATCACTCAGCCTCTCGACAGCCTCCTGAGCGAGATGATAAGCAGGAGAGGATAGAGCTTGTGCAGCCCCTGCCACAGCTTTGGCGAGAGGACAAGCAGCAGAGCTAAGGCTGAGCACCATGGGGCTGGGACAGGGTTTCCATCCTCTGGCACATCCCAAAAAGAGAACTAGAAATAACGTGGAGTAAAACAAAATTGCCAATAGATCAGAAGCACGAATACCTTTCCCCTCCCCACTGCTTGCCGTGAGAAAGCACTGATCACCATGAGAAAGCCAGCCACAAGTAAGTCTAGGGAAAGTTCTGCTCCATCCCCATCCCAGTCAGCAGTGGAGGAGGCATCCCTGCACGGCTCAACCATCCCCTGAGTGTCAGGGACATAATGGAGGGGGATTTCTGAAGTTGTGAAGGTATTAGACATAGACAGGCTGGCTGAGGTTTTGCAGAACGACTTTGCACCATGGCAGTATTTGCAACATGACTTAGGGTCGAACAAACCTGAGGCAGAACAGCCTCAGCACTGCTGATGGGAACAAAGTATTGGTGCTTGGGGAGGTAACTGCAGAGATCCCTGCAAGAGAGGAGTATGGCAGAGGATGCTACAGCATTCTTGGGTGGCAGCACCCAGACAAGCAAGTCAAGCACTAAGGAATGGAAAACAAGATGGAAAGTATTGCTCCATCCCAGCTGAGGTGCATTATAAGACGCCTTGGTCTCTCTGGGGCAGATCTAGCCAACTGCAAACTGATGACCTTCCCCATCGGCATCTACAAAGCAATGAGAAGCGTCACTGAGGGGATCCACTGCATTTCTCTGGCAAACAACGAGCTGAAGTCCATCACCAACCGATTTGTCACCACCTTCAACCAGCTGAGAGGTAAGGGGCAGCCCCACTGCTTCACAACAGCCACTTCCAAAACCTCAAGACTCAGTAAAGAGCCCCCAGGTTGCTGCAGAAGAGGCACAGCACCAGAGCTTCCCCACGGCAGTTTTTGCTTCTCTACACACACTCCTCATTCCAAGCTATAGCTCACCTCCTCCCAGATCCATTTTTCTTTACCCTTTCCAGCCCTTGTGGGGGAAGGGGGGGGGGGTGGAGAGGGAAACTAGTTTTTATTTCACCTACCCTCCCAAACCCATGCCCTGCCACCTTCCAGCAGTGGCCAGGCTGCTGCAGCATCACTCATCCTCCAGCTCCTTCCAAGGATGAGGCTGGGGTTGAACAAGGACATGAAAGGCAGCTTGGGCATAAGGGTGCATGGCCAAGATGGGGCATTTCAGGCTGCAAAAGGCATGGTGGCATGCTGCTGGCTGATTAGCCCCCATCATGAGACATCAGTGTTAGCTGATCTCTCTTCATTCACTGCAGGAGATGGGGACAGTCATCAAAGCATGGCTGGTGCCATGCTGTGGAGCCCAGCAAAAGCAACCAGAAGCTAATCTGCTGAAGTATGGTCATGCAAGCACCCAGAGCACCCAGCAACATAGTTTTGAACAATGGGGATTGTACTGGGGCTTTGCCTGCCTGCAGCAGCACCACGGTTTCTGGCAGCCTTTGAAGGCAAATATTTTGTTCATATAATGTACTGCACAAGTGCTGCTGTGGTGGGCATCTGAGGAAGCTTCCTGTATTGTACGGGAGCACCATCCATGAAAACTCCCCTAGGCTGGGGAAAAGAAAGACTTGAGCAAATGAAATCAATTTTCATTTTCTAGACAGCACAGCGAGCCCCAGGGGAAAAAGATCTCTTCCTAGCAAGGGCTTTGCTCTGCCAGTGAACAAGTCATTCCAGTGATGAACATGCTGGGCCCCAGCAGGGCTGTTGCAGTGCACAGCCTTGCAATAGTCTGAATAAGACAGGACCTATAAATACCAGGTATTAGGAGGGGCAGGGCAGCTTGCATGGGTATTTATAGAGCAGAAAGACCTGTGTCACTGGAGAAGGGTGCTTGAACAGCAGAATTTAGGTTCCTATGGCCTTCCATGAAGACGTGCTGCTACTGGCCACACAGAAACTCATTCTGGGAGGGTGGTGGGAGAGCAAACTCTGTAAACTAGATATTTTTCACATGTAGATATTTCTTCCACCACTCTGTTTATACCTCAGAAGGGATCCAGGTATGTAAAGATAACAAACTAGCCTTAAACCATGACAAATCTGCAGTGGGGGAAATTGCACCAACTTTACTAAGAAATATTACTTATTTCTACAGCCCCTGCTTGCAAAATCCTAAAAGGTTTTCATTAGGAAAGCCTGAGGAAGGCAAAAAACTTATCAATCCTAAAAGCAGTATTTACAACAGGCAAAAGTACAGTGGCAAACTATTGGGATGAGCAAGAAATCCCATTTTTAGAGCTGGAATCCCATTGCTGGACCTGGCAGCCCATGGGGGACAGAGGCTGTAAAGTAAGCTGTGCATTAATTATTTTTCCATCCACTCTCCCCTTCTTCCCCCCTCTCCCCTGTTCCCCAAACCAAGAGCTCAACCTGGCAGGCAACTACCTGCACCGCCTGCCTGAGGAGATCACCTGCCTGCTGCACCTCCGGGCCATCAACCTCTCCCGCAACAGGTTTCGGCATTTCCCTGAGCCCCTGGCTGCTGTCACTGCCCTGGAGACCATCGACCTGGAAGAGAATGAGATCAGAGGTGAGGAGGACCTTTTTCCACTGGAGGGAGGATAAGCACCTTCCTAGGGCAACTGCCCCTCCCACCGGTGATGCTGATCCACATCCCTGGGCAGGGAGGGGTGCTGGCTTGACGCTTTGCTTGTGGTCCACCATGCCCTGAGATGCAGCCAAGCCAAGAGACAGCTTAGTGATCCAGCAACAGCAGCATGAATTTGGCAGAAGAATGGGCATCCCGGTGTCGGGTAGATGCTAAATAGACAGAGCTTTGTTAGCCTCTTGCTGTTGCTAACGCTTGTACTGCCTCCTGAGGCAAAGCTGTGGCAGGCACAGGGGGAATCAAGCCTCATTCAAGTTACCCCGTTCAGTGCACTGGGATATGGCTCTCAAAGGCAGCTCCAGCTGTGACTGAATCACCAGATTTAATAAAAAATAGACCTGATGGCAGAACCCAGCCCTAAGGAGGCTGGGCTAGGATGTTTGCTGCCAGGCAAAGTAAGGGCACAAACCCACCTGTCTGTGGGTTTCCCAGAGCAAACAGGAGCTGTAACACTACAAAAATCCCCTAAAACAAAAATAAATCAAAGAAGCAGCAAGAGCTGCTCATCCCTTGACCCTGCAGTGGGAGGAAAACCTTTCATGTGCAGAGCTGAAGCTTTTGGAGTCCCCAAAAGTTGGGCAAAAGGGACAGCTGTTGCATATAGATAAAAGAGCTTATTTAGGAGTGAGCTTCCAAGAGCCCAGGCTGGAGCATCCCACAGCCCACGCAGATCCCCAGGGAGGCAAATATCAAGTCCACTCAATTTTGCTGTTTTATCTAGAATGGCTTCAGCTGCTGCTGGGAAAGCTGCTCCCTGCTACAGAAGTTTTATTAACAGCATCAGCTGTTTACTGGCCATGCCTGTAGAAACACAAAATGTTAAATACTGCTTCCATGATAGCCAGCTACATGTTTTTTCCTCACCCTGTTTTTATTCTCCTGCCTCCTGTAGAGAGCTCTCTTAGTTTCCTCCATTACTTTTTGAGCCTAATTGGTTGAGTTAAATCAGACTTGGTCTCCAAAGAGTGTATTCTCCCACTCATTTTGTGCAAGCAGGCTGCTGCAAGAAGGGAATACAGCTTCTTGTTACATTTTCCCCTGTTTAAATGCAGGGAGAAAAGGCTGCAACAAAGGTTGTACCCAGTGGGGTTAATCCCGGGGGAGAATGTGGCTAGAAAACCTAGCTTCCAGGCTTGGTCACCTCCCACTGGGCTCTCCTTGGCTGCTGTTATCAGACTCAGGAAAAATACAGGGTAGAAATTAACAATTTCAAGCTAAAGTGTTTTAGGGATATCTTAGTAGCAAGCATAATGTTGTCTGGCTGCAAAAATAGGCAAGATTAGCATTTTCTGGAAAGGGAAAAGGGTAGAGATTAGAAAGGTGGGGTGTTGCAGCCCTTTTTCTCAAGGAAACAAAAGTCTGGGCAATCACATTGCCCCTACCAGCCCTTCCAAATACTTCCCAGGCTCATCTTTGTGTGACTTTGTATTTATATAGATATATATAGACTTTTATATACCAATACATTTTTATGTATTATCTATGAGCTTGTATTTATACATACACCTTTTCCTCCCACACTAGCCTGGCACAAGGCACAGGAGAAGGAGAATTAAGGAAAACCCATCAGCTTGAGTTTAACTGGCACAAGTATTTTATTTAACAGTCAGGCAGGATGGAGCCCCTCACACATGAAATACAGCAGCAGGACACATTTTACCCCAGAAGATCTTGAATCAGACTATAGGAGATAGCACTTTCTCTCCTGCATACCTGTACAATTGACCTGCCATGGCTGGCTGAGAACCATGCTTTGGCAGCAGGGACTCACAAAGAGTAACCAACACATTCTTGGACAAGGTGTTCAGATATTTGAAAGCTCATTTTGATGCTGATTTTCAGCTGCATTACCCACATACCTCCAGTCAGCCCAACATAGGAAAGAGCTGCCTTAACAGTACAAAAAGGAACAGAAGCTGCATTTTGGTGCCTTTTATAGTTTGGGAGCCAGGTTGTCCCACTTAGACCAATAATGAGTTGATGACCCTGCTCCAGATAAAGGACCATCAGACAACAGAAGAATGCTGTGTGTGGAGATGAAAGTTGGGGAAGGGTTATAGCTGTTCTCAGAGCTATGGGGGCTCCAGATCACTGGTTTGTAGCACTGCAGTAACCACGTGCTGGTCTTAGCTGTCCTCTTCTGCTTTCTCAGTGATACTGAAGGACCTCATGGCAATGCTGTAAACCAGATTTTAAAGTACTTGCTGAAAAAGAGGGGTGAGTCACCTACTAGGGCATACTGAACTGGAGGTGGTAGGTAATGTTTTCCAGCTAAAGGGAAACAGGAGTTTATTAACGCCTACTTGGAGTATGTGGACTCTGTGAAAACAGACATTTAGTGCCATGAGCTGTCCTTTTCATCTCAACAAGCTCTTAACCCTGAAGTGTAATTATGTATATATTAATATCATTAATATATGCATTAATATATAGAAGGGAAAGTGCTTTTAGATCTTTCCCTGTGAATCAGAATTTTACCAAATTAGCATTTTCAGCTCCCAAATCCGTAGGGGTTTTGGGGTGCCTGAAGCTCCAGTTTTTCTTTCCCTTATTCCTTGATTAATGGTTTATTGTGGAAGATGTTGATATAAGAAGGGGCATGCTGGAAACTACTACCAAGGCTGAGCAGGTCACTGCTGGGCCTGTGGCTGATTTTGTTCTCCTGAGCATCAGAGAGCCACTCTTAATTTAGGATAATGGTATGGAAAATGCATCTCTGTAATAGCTGCAGAGGAGCCAGAGAGTGTGTTTCCACCAGTGGATTTGGAGGAGCCTGGTGGCTGCCAAAGGATGTGGGTAATGCTGAAAGGTGACCAGACAGTGCCTCTACTGATCTGAGCAGAGTTTTTCCACCTTCAATTTGCAGATGTACATGGCTGCAAGACCTCTGGAACTGTCAGTGTTCGTTACCTAGCCCCTCAGCTGCCTCTGCAGCTCTTTCATATCTGTCTCCTCTGATGCCTCCAGAAGCCTTGGCAGTCCTTTCATCTGAAGGAGTTAGGGTTTTTGCTCACTTATTATATCATATTCTGATCTGAAAAAAAAAAAAATCATTTGCTTTAATTATTAACAAAGCTTCTTTTTCCTATTTTTGCCTAACTGGTGAAGTCGGTATGCATAATTCATGCTCAAAAGCAAGGACTTTATTCACTGAGGAGCTGGCAAGTGATGCTTTGGGTTGCTCATAGAGGAGTTCATGGCTCTCACAGCACAGATATATAGCTGTAGGCTTCACTGCATGCCCTGCCTGTTGTTTCATGCCAGGGTGAATCACTGCTCTGTACCTTGAATTAATCTGCAGAGCTGAGCTGTTCCCACCCTGGGCAAGGCTGCTCCCTAAAACACTTAACTCACTAAATTTAAGCAAAGTGAGGGTTTCTCACTCGGCATAGCCTTAGAGGATATTAAACAGGAAGAAATACCAAAAAAAAAATATAAAAAGTGCATCAAGGGAAAAGACAGCACAATTATACAGGGGATTGGTGGTGAACAGACCCGCCATAAGAGGAGGTAAAAAAATCTGTCTGAAGCTCAGCCTGATGAGATGCACGCTGTTAAGAAATGTGTATCACAGAAAACAGCACTGCTCTCTGGAGGAGAAAGGAAGAAAATCCATCAAGGTGTTTGAGTCTTTTTCCAGCATAAAGTAAGTTTAATGGTTTAAAACTACGGAATCTCCTGCCCAGCTATAATTACAACACTGCAATTCTGCCTCAAGTATTGGCAGAAGAAATCAGACCTGCGGACATAAAAGGCTCTTGTCGTTTTGGTGGCCAAATTACAAAGAAACTCTTCTTGGTAAACTCAGACAGGTGGGCTTGTCAAGCCCCAAATATTGTGATTTGTAACAGAAATCTAAATATGTCATCTTTTAGTTATCTTAATGATGAGGCTTTTGCATTGGTCTCATTTCTCTGTTCTTGGTGGATTCACATTGGAGCCATCCATGAGACTTGCACCTTTTTTTAATGTAAAAGGGATTTCCTTTATAAACCCTTACTAAATGAAAACATGCAAATGAAAACATGCAAATGAAAACATGCCCATAAACAGCCAAGAGCTATTTTGCAGCCTGTCCAACAAAGCCAAAGAGCACATGCTCCCCTATTAGCCTGGTGAGGTCTCCTGAGCATTGCAACACTGGGAAATAAACAGGTTTTGAATACCAGCAGGGTTTTTTTGAGTACTAGGAGAACTGGAGGGCAATGGCCACATTTAATATGATGGTACTTGTACCTTGCCAGACAATTGAGTAGTTCTATAACTGAATATTCAATTATGTCTAGGTTCTGATAAAAGCCTGGAGACTGGAGTGAGCAGGGTTTGTTCTGGGCTGCCCATTGAGCCACGGCTTTTGTCCCCTCTGCCACTCTGAATTCCCTGGCATCTGAGGCCTGGATGGGTGCTCACCTGAGTGTTCTCTTTTGCAGAGGTGCCAACGGAGAAGCTGGCCTCCATGGCATCGCTGCGGAGCCTCAACCTGCGGGCAAACCCCGTTGGTCCTGAGGTGCGGCTGCTGGTCCGGCCCCTTGTCCCCTTTGACCTGCTGCTGTCACCAGAGGAGCCCATCCCCAAAGCCTGAGAGGGTCTTGGGGTGCCTGGGGTGCAAGCTCTCCTGAGGGGTGACTGTCTGCAAGAGTGGTTTGGCTTAGGTCAGTCCCTGCTATGCTGCTATTTCTGTCCCAAACCTGCAGCGAGGCAGCCATTCCCTCATTTTTCATTAATAAAAAGCAAGCAGAGAGGCTCCTCTGTGAAGGGATGGCTTTGCCAGCTCCCAAGCCTGGTAATTTCCTGCTCTGTGCTTTAGGGAGACAGAGGAGCCACAACACGTGCGGTGTGAGGTCTGGGTAAAACTGTAGGAGTCGGATGTTTGGCTACATCCCTCCTGCCTGGCTGGTGATGAGGAGCACCCAGGGCCAGGATGGTGGGGGATGTCCCTGCAGCTATAAGGGTTCCCCTTGGAACTGCTGACGTAGTGGTGTACCAAGTGCCTGATTAAATGTTTTCTTGTTACATGGGGGTTTTGTATCTGCTTAAATTTGAATTACCAGTCTTCCCCTTAACGAAGCCCCTTTGCACATCCCCAAGGCTGCTTACTGCAGCTCAGGCTGAAGCCTCCAGCTGAATTCCACCCATACCTGAGCAGTATTTTGCTGGATTCCAGGGAAATTGTTGGGGGGTTCCCCCCATGTTTTTTTTTCACTATGGAAATCAAAACAACCCAGTTCCAGTGGATCTCCACACACTGCTCACCCCATGGGTGTCCCCAGAAGCATGCACCCACATCCTGGGTACTGTGGGTCTTTAAGATGTGCCACTTTCTCTCCCTGGAAGAAACAGCCTGTGGGGTTCAGGATGTGGTCCAGAGAGAGCGGCTCCTTGGTGGTGGGGAGGCCACTGCCAAGCATGCTGGTATCCCTTACAGCTGACAGCCTGCAAAACACCTCCTGGGAGAAACTGCAGGTGTTTCCTCGAAATGGCTTGTTTAAACATCTCTCGTGCTTACTCCTTTGTTTTTTTTGAGGGATAAACGCTCCCCAATAGTGTGGGCTGGTGGGGGGCAGGTAGGAATGGTTGCTCCTGTAAATATTTGACTTCTAGAGTTGCCAAACCCAATCTTCTTTGGTAAAAGACCATGGTAAGAGGGGATTTGTTGATGTTGCCAATGACAGAGGGCCTGGAGTCGAGCAGAGCAGCTTTGGGCTGGGACCAGCATCCCAGAGGATCATCCTGCTTTTCCCCACTGTGTGGGTGATTTACATAGAGGGGAGAACAGTGGTCCTCCCAACTCGTACTGGGGCTCCCAGCGTGTTTTCCCCCCGGGGCAGGCAGGAGCTGGCATCAGCTGGAGGAGAGGGAGCCAGCAGCAGCGTGGGAACCTCTGGGTGGCGGGGGGAACCCCGACCCTCCCCCTGGACCAAACCTGCTCCAGCTCTCTCCTTGCCTCCCCTCCCGCTGCCTCGGGCGGGGGTGGGGGTGGGGTGTGCGTACCCCGGTATCCATGGCGATGGGAGGTTGTCCCCCCGCCGCCCCCCTCCTCTGCAGCCGCCGAGCAGCCGCAACCGGCTCGGCGGCACCAGCGGCAGCGCGGTACCGGCACCGGAGCTCGGCTCCGGGAGGGGGACTGGAGGAGGAACGGGGACAAATTCCGCAAGCTCCCCTGGCGGCAGGCCCCCCCTGCCTGCATGCCGGCGATGCAGCCCCCGGAGCCGGGCTGGGACAGTGGAGGTGAGTACCAAGATCCGATCTATTTTCATTCATTTCAAACAGATGTCCAGCCTCTTCCACCTCCCGCTCCCCCCTCCCTTCCGACCCCTATTCCATCATCCCAGTCTTTCCCTGTGGTGGTTTCCCTAAGCCAAGCAGGGAGACAGGTGACACATAGCCCCCCGGCCAGTGTCCCCCCTTCTCCTCGTCACCGCATCCCAGACGTCAGCGCCGAACGGAGGATGTCTCCATCTATCCAGCACCAACCCGGGCACTTGGCAGCCCCTTATTTTCTTTTCCTCATCTTCCACCTCGCTTTTGAAATTGCCTGTGATTTTTTATGCATAGGATACCCACCTCCCACTAATGCTGTAAGACACTGTAGCCCAAAGAGATGAAGTCCAGCAAAGTTTCAGGCTTAATATTACAGGATTCAGGCAATTTCATTAGAGTCTTTGCTATTACTTCTGCTAAAGAAGCCAGTTTATGTGGGTGCATTTGATGCTGACCAGCTGAAGCATCTTGTTCCAATAGCCCTGATGTTTCCTTGCCTCTCTGAGAGGCTCCTTCTGGGCTGGTGCTGCAAACCCCTCTGGCACCTTTCTGAAGCTCTGCTGGAAATGTACTGGCTGAAGCCTGCACCCAGAACAGTGGTATATTACCCAGGCAGCGCAACCCCTGTGTGACAGAGCCTTAAGAGAAGCAAGTGGTCCCAGCAGCTGGGAAAAGCATCTTGGATGGCAAGCTGAGCACCGGCACAGGGCTCGGGAGATGATACAGCCACCCATCATGCAGTAGCTTTGCAGTGCTTTCTCAGAGCAGTGCTGATGTGCCGGTAGTTAGGCTGAGCCTTAAAGTAAAAATATTCCTTTTATTGTCTTAAAATCGCAGCCTGGGTTTGCCTGGAGCAAGTCATCACTGCAGGCAGCTCCTGCCTGCGCGCGGCATCCTCTTGTGTCCCTGCCTGCGTAAAGCCAGGGAAACCCAAGGGTGGGTGCTGCACAGACCAGCTCCCCCTGTTAAACCTGTAGTGACAAAATGTCACCCCCTTTCCATTAGAAGCTCTTAGGGTCCCAGATAACCATCATAATTATGTATAATTATTGTTTTATATGTAAGGGGATGACAGGATCTTCCCTTCCCCAGCCCCTCTCCCTTGGGTACTGGAGCTTTGTTGGGGAGAAGATTTTAGGGGATCTCACATTGCAGACCTCATAAGCACAAGGAGAAGCAGCAGCAGACACCCAGGAGTAGGGATGCTCCCAGGCTGGCTGTACTAGGGACCCACACAGATAAAGCTCCCACACTGCCAGAGCATTGCAGTGTCAAGACACGGATTTCTCTTCCCTGCATTATCCCTACAAAAATCCCATGAGAACAGGATGTCTTCTGTGCTGCTTTAATTCCTCATTAAAATAATGATATAAAATACTAATGATATAAAATAATGCTTCAGAGGAGGTGCTGCAGGACCTTGGGATGGGCTGTGTAACCCAAGGAGGAGGAGACTTGTTGGGCCACTGAGATGATGCCAGTGATGTCCCAGCCAGTGATGTCCCAGCCAGTGATGTCCCAGCCAGGCTGGACACTGGTGCAAATATGGAAACCCACCTCCATGTGATAAAGCATAATCGCTTTATCCTCTCCCAGCTTTGCTGTGCTGCCTTCCTTCCCCCAGGCCCTTCCAATGGCAGCTGGCCCAACTCTACCACAAGTGAGAGCCACCTCCCGAGGGAGAACTACACCTTCTTGGCGTACTACCAGCATTCCTCCCCCGTGGCTGCTATGTTCATCCTGGCCTACAGCTTCATTTTCCTCATGTGCGTGATTGGCAACATCCTGGTGTGCTTCATCGTGATGAAGAACCGCCAGATGCGGACAGTCACCAACGTGTTCATACTCAATTTGGCCATCAGTGACCTGCTGGTGGGCATCTTCTGCATGCCCACCACCTTGGTGGACAACCTCATCACAGGTGAGTAGAGGAGGGCAAGACAAAAACAGGGGGGAGAGAAAATGGTGGGGAACATCACCCACCTTCTGCGCCCCGCACATGAGGCCACCCTGTGGGTGATTTTTTTGCTGAAGATGAGGAGGGCAGGTGGTGGCCACTCAACCACTTCTGATGAAAGGTATAATTTCACTTATAGCTACTATTTTAGGGGGAGGAAAACCTTTTTCTTTGAGGTTTTGGTCTTTTTTGGCAAAATAAGTGACCTTAATGCCACATTTACAAATTTATTTAAAGTTTGGCCACTCTCTATCAAGCAACCCTGAAAAAAAAACACCCTCTTCTTGCATCGATCTTCTCCTGTGCTGGCTCAGCTCTGCCCGTTGACCTTTACAAAGATAAAAGGTGACAGTGGCACAGTTGGTGGAGTTTAACCACAGCAGTATCTGGGCACAGGACAGAGTCTGTATTTATTTATATGGGGTGTGATTTATTTATTGCCAACACCGTAGCATTGGGATCAAGAAACAAGACAAAAGCCCTTCTGATTGAGGATCATGAGGTCAGTCCTCATGAAAACACCCCAAGCCCTACATAAGGGTAAGAGAAATTACAACTACCATGCTTCTTGAGCTTCTAAGAAATGTAACATGCATCTTTTTTACCAATTTTGTTTTTTTTTCCCCAAGCATCTGTTGCTAAAGGCCACCCCTGTATGAGCCAAAACACAACCCTCCCCTTAGGAGCAGGATTTAGCAACCCCCAGCAACAACACAGTATATGGAGACATCTGGAGGGAGCTGGTGATGTAATTGTCCAAGCCAAAGGTACCTACAGCCTCCAAGGTGTCCCTTCACAGGTTGGCCCTTTGACAACACCATGTGCAAAATGAGTGGCCTCGTGCAGGGCATGTCTGTCTCCGCCTCTGTTTTCACGCTCGTGGCCATCGCTGTGGAGAGGTATGTTGGCATGAACATGTGGGGACATGGGGTCCTAGCCACCTCCAGAGTGTTATGGTATCCCACATGGTTTCCATCATGGGAAATCTCCTGGGGACATCAGGAGTGTGTCCCAGATCTCCAGGAGGACCACAAAGTTACCCATGGAGAATCCCAGCATGGTGTCCTTCCCCACCTCGAGCTGAAAACACTAAATCTGGAGAGATCCCAACCTATCTCTGTCACCAAAAGCCATATGTAAACAGAAACCCACCTTATCCTCCCCTCCCACCCCTGGGTCCTGGCTACCCTCCTTCCTCAGAGACATCCCACTGGGTGCCCAAAGCCACCAGTGCCTGCCCTCCCACAGGTTTCGCTGCATTGTCCACCCCTTCCGGCAGAAGCTAACACTGAGGAAAGCCCTGGTGACCATCGCCATCATCTGGGTGCTAGCCCTGCTCATCATGTGCCCTGCTGCCATCACCCTGACTGTCACCAGGGAGGAGCACCACTTCATGGTGGACACCTATAATAACTCCTACCCCCTCTATTCCTGTTGGGAGGCCTGGCCTGAGACGGGGATGAGAAGGATCTACACCACTGTCCTCTTCTCCCACATCTATGTGGCCCCCCTTGCCCTTATCGTTGTCATGTATGCCCGCATTGCCTTCAAGCTCTTCAAGTCAGTGGCACCTGCCCATGGCCAAGATGAGCCAGAGGGGAGGAAAGTCTCCCGGAGGAAGGCCAAGGTCATCAACATGCTGATCATCATCGCCCTCTTCTTCACTCTCTCCTGGCTGCCCCTCTGGACACTGATGCTGCTGACGGACTATGGCCAGCTGAGTGAAGGCCAGCTCCGCCTCGTCACCGTCTACGTCTTTCCCTTCGCCCACTGGCTGGCCTTCTTCAACAGCAGC